TTTTTTTTACGAACAAAACTTAGGAGAGTTAAGTGAAGGGGTCTGCTTTTGAATGGCCATGCACTACCTAAAGAGCATGCCAAGCCCTCGTGGCTCCATGGCTAGCATCACTCTCTGAGGGTTACGGGGACAGAAGTGTCCCGGACGTGCAGGAACGTAACAGCTGGTACCTGAATAATCACTCGTCGGCGGACAACCCTGGTAGTTACCATCGCCTCCTCATCTGAGCTGGCCTCCAGCTCACCTAATTCCTCTGTTAGCTCCTGGTGGAAGCATGGAAGCATCGTTTTGTTTAACACGCTAAGGAATGTCTTCACTACTGGTTTCTGCTTTAGTTCACACGGTTTTCTGAAAGTTTTATTCATGGAGGCTGTGCTAGAAAAGCCAGCACAGCAAACAAGTGTGTCTGTCTGACACTTTGGTAAGAATACTTTTTTGTTCAATGAATGCAAACAATTCTGGAATTCTGAAAGCTGAGTGCCCATCTGTCAGAATCTATCAAAAGAAATGAGCCACTTGTCCACATTACTTCTTGGACTTAAACTCCTGATAAACAAGCAAATGTAAACCAAAACTTAAGCAACACACACACACACACACACACACACACAGACACACAACACTTGGAAGCCATCAATACTCAACACTCAGGCTTAGGCTTAGAATGATTAACCCACAGGTATAGAAACAACTCATGCTTGTAGCAGAACTTTCTGCAAAAAGTCAAAATTTCCTGCAGCTCTTATCTAGCCAGTTGAGCATCTCCCTGGCAACAAACAAGGCAGGCTATGAATAATATTAGACTCATTTTGCAGAGAAGTTAAGATGCACAGGCCAGTCTGATTTTATGGGTCTGGCCCAGAGTCAAAGATGGAGCTAAGAACACAATTTTAGATTAGAACATATCTCGGGAGTGTTCCATTGAATTACTCTTTCCTAACAGGATACTACTTTTTTTTTTTTTTTTTAAAGAAAACTCAATGATATTTTTTCAACATATTTTAACATATCTGACATATTTCTATATGCTTTTCTGCTAAAGGAAAACATGTAAAATCGAAACCAAACTGTACATTCTGGAATCTGCTGCCTAGAAAGATGATCAGCAAGAAAAGTGACTGAAGTCAGATCCTCAAGTTAGGGTCATGAGAATTAAGGGTCAAAATAGGAAGCGTCACAGAGATAACTGGATATTCACCAAGAATCAATGGAACAGGCCCATAGAAAGTGGAATACAGAATGACTTATCAAAATTTATTTATATGCATAGAAAAAATAAATGAATTATACAGATAATTGTTTGAAATCTATACTTCAATTAGCCAATGGATTCTTAGGCTAAATTTAGTAACTCCTAAGCCCTGACAGCATCTTTGAAACATTTTTACCAGAATTCATTTAAGCTGAGAATTTGGGAGATGAGTAATTCTCTGCAAAGGTACACTTAAAATAAAAACCCATTCATGGGATGAATTCATTATTTAAGATAACTACCAAAACTGGGACACAGTTCTCATTTGCCTGAAACTCCCCTAATTTTAGTTATGATCTTAGATAAATCCTGCTAGCAGATGTCACCCTCATAGTGAACAAAAATAAATGTAGGACTTAAGCCCACAGATATGTTGTATCATGCTTTTCTTCAAAACCTTTCAGTTCTTTTCTATACCTCATTCTTTACTACTGAGACCTATATTAATGCTTTAAAAACACGGTGACATAAAAAAATGCTTTTGAATTCTAAAAGGACAAATATATAATTTAATAGATATTAAATTTAATCCAAACAGATTCTCACACTTTTTTGTGCATGACAATCATCCAGAGAGTTATTTAAAATGCAGATTCTTGCTCCCCTCTTCCCTGAGATTCATTCCTCTGAGGAGGGCTTAAACACCGCCGGTGAACACTGAGGCATGTGAATGATTCAGAATACACCGTTTAAATTAATTTCTTAGATGGTCTCCGGAGACCCCTCTTTGCAACATCAAAGCTCCCTTAATGACAAAGGAAACACTTAAGTAAGTTTCTGCTCCTTATTCTGACATTCTGAACCACGATAAGTTGAGGTACACTGTCCTTTTTCAAAGTCATTCTTAAAATAGGTATAAGGAGACCTATTTTGGAAATAATCCTTCCTTTAATGAGGAAAATTTGGGGAGGGGAGGAAAACCCCACCTGATATCCACAGTCTGCGTGTTCATCACCTGACAGCACAGACAGATGTAACCAGAGTCTGGCTCCCACAAGTTTCCATGGCTGGCACGTACCGGGGGCCCTGTTAATCCCCCTCACTAGTCTTCGTGCCCATGGTTAGCAACTCTGAAAAGCTACATCAGGCATACTGTTTCACTCCAGGGTTCATTTTCCTTAGCAAAAGGGTTTCCCAATTGGAAAATTAAGGCTCATGCTCAGGTAGCAAGAATTAGAACTGTGTATCTTTTTTTTTTTTTTTTCCTAGATTCCCTGGCTCCCACGTTTTAAAGGGGATTGAGGGGTTTCCAGGGTCCAGGTCAATTTTTTTCAGAGAAAAAATAAACCATCAGAGAAATGGAAACTGGGGAAGATTTGTAGCTTTGCTGCCTGTGGGCAAGGAAAGAGAGGAGATCCTTACCTTATGGAAAGCTGCATCGTCATCGAATCTTTCAAGGGCCTGTGGCTGGTCATCAGCAGACTCCACTATCACAAGGCTAGTTTTCTGAGAACTCTCCTCCTTATGTTCTGGGGGCTCTTCGGGTTCCTGTACGATGGGAGAGTCGCCCTGCTCACTAGATGTTGGAGTCTGGAGGTGTGGCCTCTCCTCCTCAGGAGGGGTACTGATTTCCTCAGGTGTCTTGCTTTGAGAGCCAGATATAGCCGTAGGCTTTTGAGTCTCTGACACTTCCGTCCCTGGGGTTGTCACACTGAAATGGAAAAGCCAAGTTACACCATGAGAGCATTTACATTTCCCCTTTTGCTGAAGCAAGGCAATTGGGACAAAAGATGGAACTTGTCTTCATGGTCCATGACAAGTCAAAATAAGTTTTGTATATATGGCCGAGAAATGAAATTTGAATAAAAATCATATGTAAGAAAGTTACAGCTCCTTGATCTAGTATTGGCTGGGATGGATCTATTCTAAAGAGAAAAATTATTCTAAAATGTATTACCATTTCTTAATCTCTACAAAGTATATAAATTATAATTTCATCTTTTCTTTGATAACTCAAGGTTATCTTGAAGATTTGAGGAGGTTTATATAACAAAGATCTGTAGATAATAAGGCTTCTGAAGCAAGAATCAAAGTTTGGGAAATTTTTTTAAACATATATAAACCCCATGTTAATATGGTTATCATAATTGCAAATATAGAGAGATTCTTATTATACTTCTGGAAAATTATTACTTGATGGAAAGACCTAGTTAAAACTTTTTCTTCTGATTTAATTTGGAGTTACTCCAATGCAATCTTTATAATCTCAATTTTAAATACGAAAATTCTTTTTCTGCTTTTAAACTTCTTATTACAAATTTCTGTCACTCTGTAGATACTAAGTGCCCAAATGCCTCTCTGATATTCCCTCTTTGCTTCCCATCTTTTTATTTTTCTTTCTTTCTTCTCTCCCCTAAAATCTAAAGGTAGTTGGTAGGCGGTGGCTCAGTGGAAGAAAGAGGATTTTATTACCCATTTCACCCTCTTCTCAAGCTCCAGTGACCCCAGCAGAAAACTCGCTTACTGGTGTAATCTCCTGACACACTATTCTCAGATTTCAGGTCTGGGGACACACTTGCCTTTCACATCATCTGTTTTCCTTCTCTAGATATAACAAGCGTCATTTAAACAATTCTCTTTCTCATTTGCTTCTATGAAGCCCAGTACTTGAGTTCTGAGCTGACTGTTCTATAGCTTCTTTTAGCCAGAAAGTCTCCAGAAGACTTCTCTGTATTTCCACTCTGAACTTATCCCACTTTATTTTGATGGTCTTTCATTCTGTGTGAATAATTTGTGTTGCGTTTCTATTTTTATTGTCAGCCACCCCAATGCTTTGGTGACATACACTGAGGGCTGCTTCACCTACAGCATCCCTGTTCATACTGTGAACTAGCCATGGGACAACTGGCACATATCAGAGCACTGCAGAGAAGTCAAGTGCAACAGTCTTATAAGCAATAAGCATGAGGTCTTTATGAAATCTTACAGTTTAAACAATGCTTTCACAGGCATATCCTTGACCTGTGACCCTATGAGACGAATAAGGTATATATTCTTATAACTTAGAGATGTGGAAACAGAAACCAAAAAGGGCTTGGGGCTTGCCCAAGGTCATAGAACCGGAAGTTGTTTTAAGCAGATCTACCATACAATGCTGCCATAATTATGTCTCAAATCTTTCGCTCTTTTTCCTGTAGTTCTGGCACTTGTTACTGGTGGGCTTATTTGAAAACCATCTGAAAACAATTTATGGTTGCACATGCCTGGCACTCTTGCCATCCTGGCTTATTTCTTGGAATTACATTGGACAGGCTTTCTTTTGAAACTCACAAGTACTCCTGCTGACATTCAAGAGATGACTCTTCAGGCAGGTCTTGCATTTTCCCTGAGAAATCCTGTTGAACTTGCTCCTTGTGAGTTTGGGGAAAGAGCTCTGTTGCTGAGCTGTCCCCCTCAGTTTTGGGGATGCAATCCTGAAAAGTAGAATAACCGACAGAAATGTCTTCCTCTGAGACAATGGGAGGGTGATCACAGGACTCGCTTTCTTTAGAAGCAGCTTGCTCCTCTTTCTGCTTGTGCTGTGCACTGCATAGTTCCTCTTGAAGTACTGAGAACCCTACAGGGAGAAACAATTTAAATGAAATATTAACTGAAGCTCACTTACATTAAATGGGTATTTACTCGGTAACTATTAATGTGCCACATCCTGTGATAGATCCATGGTTACAAAGCTGAATGAGATAACCGTGTCTGCCTTCAAGATACAGATCATCTATTGAAGCTCAGGCAAGTAAGAATCTGTTGAAATGCAGAGTGACTGGGCCACAGTGCCAGTCAATAAATGCAGGAGCACCCAACTCAGGGTTAAAGAATTAGGAAGGGAAACGCAGAGGGTGTGACATTTTAAGGAGACCTAATGATAACTGCTACTGAGGCATAGAATGTAAGTAGGAAGAAGGATTAGAGTTTAATAATAATTAATAATAGCTAATACATTCTAAGTATTATGTGTTAGGCACTGTTCTAGGTGTTCCACAAGTATTAACTTGTATTAACAACACTTGAGGTTAGTACCCTTTTTTGTGGAGGGTCTCTCATGCCATGCTAAGGAATATTATCATACCCAGGGCAATGAGGAGTCACTAAAAACTTTAGCAGAGGTATGACTGACATTCATCTACTTATTTATTCACTCAACAGATGTATATATTATCAACTATGTAGTAGGTGCTGTTTAGACATTAGAGATATAGCAGTGAACAAGGTAGAAAAGTCCTCACTGAACTTTTATTTCTGCAGATATATATTTATGATAAATTTTAGGAGAAAAGGAAACCATGGTAAAGGGTAAATAGGGCTAGTATTTTAGATAGAATTGTCAGGAAAGGGTGCTTTGGGGAGATTGATTTTGAGCAGAGGCCTGAATAGGTAGGTATTTGATGCTCTGAGGGAAGAATGCTCCAGAGTGGAGGAAACAGAAAGTAGCAGAGCTCCAAAGCCCCAAAATGCATAGGGTGCCCAGGGAACATCAAGGAGGCCAGGTGTCTGGGATTTATATAAAAAAAGGAGAGAAACAGGAGATAGGACAAACTTTCACTGGATAGTAACACACACCATCATTTAAATCTATGAAAAGAAGCTACAGAAAGGAATTGTGTAAAAATAGCCAGAAAAATAAGCAAAAGAAAAAAAAAAAACATGAAGGGAGGGTGTCATGGAAAGTGAATGAAGAAAATGTTTTTAAAAAATATTAATTTTTTGTCAAGTATTACTAAGGAGTAAATAAGATGAAGACTGAAAAATTATTCGCTGTATTTGGCAATGAGGAAATCATTAGTGAATTTTATAAGATTGCTTTCTGTTGAGTGGTGATGACTCAAAAAATGACTGTCACAAATTCTAGAGACAGTTCTAGAGAACAGGAAGACAGGAAGTAGATATAGGGAGTATAGGCTATTCTTCTGAAGAGATTTTCTATAAAATGAATGGAGAAACAGAACAATCATACAAGAAGGCATATAGGGTGAAGGAGTTGTTTTGTTTTGTTTTTAAAGAATGGGCTCTACTTAAATGTCCATCAACTGATAAATGGATAAAGAAATTGTGGTTTATATACACAAAGGAAGACTATGTGGCAACGAGAAAGAATGAAATATGGCTTTGTAGCAACATGGATGGAACTGGAGAATGTTATGCTAAGTGAAATAAGTCATACAGAGAAAAACAGATACCATATGTTTTCACTCTTATGTGAAACTTATGAGAAACTTAACAGAAGACCATGGGGAAGGGGAAGGAAAAAAAATAAGGTTAGAGAGGGAAGGAGCCCAAACTGAGAACAAACTGAGGGTCGATGAGTGGGAGGGAGGGGAGGGTGGGTGATGGGCATTGAAGAGGGCACCTGTTGGGATGAGCACTGGGTGTTGTATGGAAACCAATTTGACAATAAATTTCATATTAAAAAAATAAAGAATGGGCTCTATTAAAGCATGTTTTAATGCTCTTGAGCATGATCTAGTTGTAGGAAGCCACAGTGGATAACTGAAGGAGTGAGGTCCTTAATTGGATAAAAAGAGATGAGATCCAGTACAAAAGAAGAGATAATGGTTTTAGCAAAGCAAAGACATTTCATACAGAAGGGAAGGTAGAGTACAGACATTGAGATGCACTTAGATTGGTAGAGTTTGTGGTGAAAGAATATGGACATTCGCTTAGGACTATTCTTATTTTTTCTAAGAAATACGAAGCTTGGTCATTAGCTTTAAAAAAGGAGAAGAGAAATGTTGGAGGCTTGAAAGAAGAAGAGAAGGTATAAACTAGAGGTGTGAGAGAGAAAGAGAGAGAGAGAAAGAGAGAGAGAGGGAAAGAGAGACAGAGAGGGAGGGAGAGAAGATAATGAGCATGCAAATAAAGGAGAATGGATCAAAGAAACTTTAGTACTGAAAAGGTGGTAGGGCCAATGGCTGGAGGTCCCAGTGGGTTTGAAGAATCACCAGTATCGAAGCAAAAGAAGAAGTAAGTGTAATGCTTCAAATCAGGACCCAGAAGTAATATAGTCAGTGGTAATGATATAGTCTTGGTTGTGAGCACAGGAATGGGTAGCTAGAGTAAAAGACACAAGTATAAGTACCACCAAGGATCCGAGGAAAGGGCATTGGATAGGTCATCCGTGTTGTTATGAACTGAGTATCTGTATCCCCTTAAAATCATCTGATGAAACCCTAATCCCAATGTGATAATATTTAGAGGTGATGCCTTTAGGAGGTACTTCGATCATGAGGGTAGAGCCTTCATGACTGGGACTTGTGCCCTTATAAGAAGACACCAGAGAACTAGCTAGTTCTCTTTCCCCCAGGTGAGGACACAGCAAGAAGGCAACCATCTGCAACCCAAAGGAGGGTCCTCACCAGAACCTGTCTGTGCTGTCATCCTGATCTCTGACTTCCACTCTCTAGAACTGTGAGAAATAAATTTCTCTTATTTAAGCCACCCAGTTTATGGCATTGTGTTATAGCAGTCCAAAATGGTTGGAACAAAGGTGAAATAACAAAGAATGAGCAGTATGAAGGTACCTATAAAATGAGAAAAAATATGTGATCACCGGAGTCCACAGACCACCCTTTAAAAAAAGAAGGAAGATTTGTTCCAGTCACCTGAATTAGTCATACATACACCACACACCCACACCCACACAGATTGTTTGACCTTCACTATGATCCAGTGTAATTGTCTGTTCAATTTCTGCATAGCTATGACTGATGCGCTCCTGGAGAGGCTCTGTGCTGGCCTCCATGAGATGAACAATATCCATTCGGTTGATCTTGGTGAGACATTCAATGAGACTTGTATCTGGGATATTAGAGAAAAAAACAGAAAAACATTTATAATATCTGAGGGGTAATCTTTTGAAAATCTCTTTCATTTAGTTGCCTTACTAAAATTTTTATATCTGTACAGGAAACAAAGCCCAACTAAAGGTCTTTGTAAAAAAAAAAAAAAAAAAAAAAAAAAAAAAAAAAAAGCAAATAGAAAGGAGGTATGCATAAAATAGTGGGGGAAAGCATAGGCAAAAGCCCTAAAAGTAGAGTTGCCAGATAATATATAGGATATCCTGTCAAATTTGAATTTCAGATTAAAAAAAAATTTAATATAAGTATATCCCAAATACTGCAGGGGGTATACTTATACTAAATAAATTATCTGTAGACTCTTTGAAATTTAACTGGAAGCCCTTTATTTTTATTTGCAAAATCTGGCAATCCTACCTAGAAGAATGGTAAGAGAAGGAAAGATAAAGGTAGACTGGATGTTTATAAGGGAGGTCTGTAGGTAGATCTTCAGAGAGGCGTTAGAGGAAGTAGCAAATTTAGCTGAAGAATGAGAGGAAGTAATGGTCTTTATCACTTCTCATTTTATTTGATGTGGTCAGAATATTATACATAAATCATTATAAAGAATATCTACCTGACATCTTTCTGTCATGTAAGTTATTTAGGAGTAAAGGTAATATACTACCAATAAAACGATGACAAATAAAGTAACTGCGTCCAGTCTCAATATTTAGAAAATTTTAGGACTTTCATAATGTTCCTGTTAGCAGCCAGTGTTTCCGCTGACATTGTTCATGGGAATATAAGAATTTTTATGCAACATGCATATTTTAGAAATATCATAGCTTGTTCTCATTTGCTTACAGTAGCACTTCAGATTGATGGCATTTGTTATTATTTTACTGAATTTGCAAGAGAGGGCTTGTTGAATGAGACATATACCCCAACCTTTAGCCTAATGCTTTTTACATACAGTTTCCCACCTACCGGTAGCATGTTTCCCATCCCTTTCCAGCCAGTACTTCAATAGTGCATGACTCTGGTCTTGGAGGGAGTTAGGATTCTCAATTCGAATTTGATGAATTTGCTCCTCAGTGAAATCCAGTTCTCTTGCTAATTCTAGACAAGAAAATATTACTCTAAATACAGTAACTTCAACATTTGAGTCTCTAACACCTTGCCTTGTGATTTTGTAAGTGATGTATTCTTTGTATTGCTGTAATAGGGTTCATTTTCTCCCCTATGTATTAGAAGTGACTCTCAATAGGTCTTTGTTCTTCTAGCACTAATTGTGGATTTTATTAAAACTGGATATAGAATCAATAACTTTCATTGTGGAATCACTAAGTTTGAGACAACTGTTGATACAAATATGTACAATTCAGGCTCAATTAATTCCAAAATGCAGAAGAGACCATTCATACAGGCCTATACTCTTAACCAAGATAATGAAAAATAAATTACTAAAAATAGGAGTTATAGACTGTTTCTCACTTTTAATCATCATTAGGCAATGTTTTAAGTACTATAAATCCTACTTCTGGATACTTGGGTAAATACTGGCTGTGGTTAGATTATGGTGGTTGGCTAAACTCCTTTGATTGGATGTCACATGAATAAAAGGTCTGGGAAGCATTAACTGACCTAGGGGAAAAGCCACAAATTTTTCCTTTAAAGTCTACCACTAACACTGTATTTGGACACTTATACATTGTGGTATGAGTGACTGAGTGTAAATGAGTGTCTTCTTTGGAGGGCAGCTTGCCGATATCTTACAAAACTAAAAATATAAATACCCTTTATCCAGATATTCAATTCTACTTCTAGTAATGTGCCCTGTAGAGATACTCATGAAAATACACCAATGCACTAGGATATTTGTCATTAACAGGAAACAACCTAAATATCCAGCAATAAAGGCCACTGGTAAAAGTATGATACTTCCATACAGTAAAAATTAAATAGCCGTTTCAAAGAATGAATAGATATGTTTACCCTGATGGAATATTTACAAGGAATATTACTGGGGAAAATTGTGCTTACTTTTAAATAACAGACATAGATGTGGGTATTGTATATTTTTTTGGAATACATGAGAAAGTGTAAGCAGTTACTTTTGAGGCATGGTGTTAGAAGACCAGATGTAGGTGTGAAAAACTTATTTACTTTTCATTTTATACCATCCTGTATAGTTGTGGGGCTTGAATTTTCAACGAGTATACAGATACTACGCTTTATACACAAACACACTTATTTAAAAAACAAACTAAGTAATTCTGAATGTTACCTATTTGTCAATCATGGATATTTTGATGTCCTTCCTTTCCCTAAATCGCTCAATTAAATAAATCTGATTATTATTAACAATAGCTTTAAAATGTTTAAAAGTGAGGACATGACTATTCTTTCTGTTTTGTTATCAATTACCTTTGTTAAAGGTTTTACGGAATTCTATGCATCATACTGATTCCATAATTCACTTTCCTTTAAAAAATTATTTAACATACATTATAGCTTTTATGCTTAAATATCCTAATCTCTCAGAAAATTAGTTAAATATCTTACTCATATGTATTTCAACAGGCATCCAAAGCAAATTTTAGTACTGTTCACAATGAAGATATCTAATATAAGGTATCTAAAATAGGGAGCCCTGGGTTACATCTCCAACCAAATTTTATGACAATTACGTCTCACAATGATTTTGAAACACAGTCATCTCCCCAAAGTTTAGGTATCCATAGCTCCCAAAGGAGGATGGTGACATGTAGCATATTATCAAATCTCCTAATTTAAAGTTCTATTTTTCAATGAATTATTGGGACTTCATCATTTCTGCACAGCAAAGGAAACAATCAACAAAACTGAGAGGCAACCTACAGAATGGGAGAAGATATTTGCAAATGAAATATCTGATAAAGCATTAGTATCCAAAATCTATAAAGAACTTATCAAACTCAACACCCAAAAAAACAAATAATCCAGTTAAGAAATGGGCAGAGGACATGACTAGACATTTTTCCAAAGAAGACACACAGATGGCTAACAGACACATGAAAAGATGCTCAACGTCACTTATTATCAAAGAAATACAAATTTAAACTTCCCATCTGTCAGAATGGCTAAAATTAATAACACAGGAAACAACAGATGTTGAGGAGAATGTGGAGAAAGGAGAACCCTCTTACACTGTTGGTGAGAATGCAAACTGGTGCAGCCACTCTGGAAAATGATATGGAAGTTCCTCAAAAAGTTACAAATAGAAGTACCCTATGACCCAGCAATTGCACTATTAGGTATTTATCCAAAGGATACAAAAATGCTGATTCAAAGGAGCACATTCACCCTGATGTTTACAACAGCATTAGCAACAATAGGCAAATTATGCAACTAGTCGACATGTCCATCGACTGATGAATGGATAAAGTTGTGGTGTGTGTATACCATTTGCAATGGCGTGGATGGAGCTAGAGTGTACTATACTAAGCAAAACAAGTCTGTCAGAGAAAGACGAATACCATATGATTTCACTCATATGTAGAATTTAAGGAACAAAACAGATGAGCGTAGGAGAAGGGGAAGAAAAAAAGATAGGGAAGCAAACCATAAGAGATTCTTAACTCTAGAGAACTGAAGGTTGCTGGAGGGGAGGTGGCTGAGGGGATGGGCTAAATGGACGATGAGCATTAAGGAGGGCACTTGTGATGAACACTGGGTGTTGTATGTAAACGATTAATCACTAAGTTCTACTCTTGAAACCAATATTACACTATATGTTAACTAGAATTTAAATAAAAACTTGAAATAAACAAAAAAGAAAGTATTATTTTTCTAAATTCCAGAGATAATAAAAGGCCTGCCCTGGTTCACACAGTGAGTTAATGCAGAGCCTGGATTTTCTAGTTCATAGTTTATTATTCTTTTCACTATTCCACATGGTCTTCCTCAAGGAAAGAAACAAAACACACAATTTGTTCATTGTTAACAACACATGGCTGATGCCACTGTTATTTAAGTGAAGCAAATTTTGGTGAAAAAGTGTGTCACACTCATTTTACCTGTCCAGCTGAAGCCGAGGTGATCAGCAATATAAGCCAGCCTTTCCTCGATCCGTTCCTGCTCATCCTGTTGATCTACAGAAGGTCAAAAACAGAATGGCCAAAGGTTGTCTATGACAGGAGAGCAACCATAGTACTGATCATCCAAAAAAGGAAGTCACTTGTCCAAATATTTGATAACAGCACAAATTAGCTATCATATTTTAAATCATTTTAAGTTATGTGTTTGCCTGATTTCTGGAATGGAATGGGGAATAAATGTAATTATAAATCATGAAAACCAACTGCTTCCATATCTCTTTAATCAAGACTAGCCACTGGACATATTATAGAAGTCAATGATTTCTAGTAATTAATTTTAGCACTTTCTTTTTAAATTATATAAGAAGATACTGCCCACTGGAAGACAATCATCTTGTTCATCAAACAACAGAAAAATCATAAATGGGATGCAGAAGTGGAGTAACTAGTTAGGACCTCCACTATTGCCTGTGGTAGCATAGATCGCTTCCAGGTCATGTCTGAAAGAAATCACATCCAAGATTCATAAGAGACACAGATCATGGGTTAATCAGGCCATCCTGTGTTTTTTCAGTGTGGCCAGAAACAACATCTTCCTTGGTCCTGGTGACCTTGGAAGAAGGGAAGATAAAAGCACATGTATGTGTGTCTGTTGTTTCAACAGGTACCTATGTCTTTTGTGTGAAATTTTTGTCTGCTTACTACTAAGTAAGCTATATATACAGTACTTCCACAAATTGTAATTTTCCCATTCATTTTTTAACCTCAATTAATTAACGGGCAGCGTTTTAGGCATCATGACATTTTCTCATAACACAAACATAAGAATAATAGTCTTTATTGTAGAGATACTGGAAGACCAGAGGCTACTTCTCAAAGCCATCTATGGTTTCCTTTTTTATAATTCAAAGGGCCATCATCCTCTCTCACAGTCACTTAAATCATGCAAAGTTTGAGTTTTTGTTGTCTGCTTTACCTGATAAGAGTAGATTCTTCATTCACCTACTACTAAAACAAAAAGTACATTTTTACCTTATATTTGTTTGCTTAAAGTGTTTACCAATGGTATCTGAAATCCAACCTTTTGAATCAAAAACAGATCCACAACAACTGGAATTTCAGGGTAATGTGAAATCTTCTTGGGCAAATGGCTTCCTAATGATTATAGAATTATTAAGTACAGATTATTTTAAAGTATTTAAGGGTAAGAAGAAAAAGCAACGAATCCTTACCATATGAAACAAACCCCAATATATTCATGTGCAAAAGCCAAAGTGCTTAATTTGAGGCTAAGCCTGGGACTTCAGAGCAACAAAACTCAAAGCTTGCATGGCCTTACGTGCAGCGGCTCGAGAAAGGCAAGGTCACCATTGCCTGTTTATCATGTTTATGTTTTCCATAAGCATTCTCATTACTCAATCTTGAGATTGTTTTCATAGACAAAAGTACACAGAGAAAGCACAAAACACAAAGGGCTTACACAAACGCAGTAACCACTACAGAAAGCTTAAAGAAAATGAGACACAAATCACCAAATAAAAGATATACAAAAAACTATATAAAATTTATGACATGCGTAGCACAGGGAATCCCAGTGGCTGGCAAATACCTTCAGCATGGTCATGGCCATTTTCATCAGGGATGCGTTCAATCAGAGTCTCAATGGACTCATCCCAAATGGGCCTTGTGTCAAAGATGTCCTCAGGAATTGAATGCTCGTTCTCAACAGGTGGCAGATTTTCAATTACTGAAACTTCCAGGGCACTACTACTTTCATCATCTGAAACTAATTCTTGTTCCCTTTCTGACTGGGTAAGCCTATCTACTAACTTTGAAGCCTCGTCACTAATCTCCTCAAAGAATTCTATGGAGTTCCTGTAAAGGTCAAAGAAATGCTCCTTACTTTCTTTTGTGGGGCTCACAGCCCCCTTGCAGGAAGATGTGTTGCTTTTGCTCTTAACTGGCAATCGGGATGTAAATATCTTTGGTCTTGCGGCCCCCTCTTCTGATTCTAACTCAAGCTCCTCTGCCCTCTCTCTGCTTTCTGTTTCTGCCTCAGTGTAACTTTTAGTTTTTACTGGACATTTGGTCTTTGAGTCCAAAGGACTGGCATCAGATTCAGATTTGCTTCTACTATCTGGTGCTCTGCTTGTCATGTCCTGACCCTGAGGAGCCACTGTTTTCTGGAGAGATGAATCTAGATGCGAAAGCTGCTGCTCTACTCTTTGGACAGGTGCTTTCACGGGGATTTTAGACTTTGGTTTCGTTTCATCCTCTTTACTTTCCTCATCCAGGCTGGGTAAAAAATCTTCAGAAAGGGAATTCTCATACTCCACAGATGGAGGCTCTGTGGCTGACGTGGGTATAGTCCTTACAGGAATTTTGGATTTGCTTTCAGTAGAAGGCACATTCTCCATGGGTGCAGTAGGGATTTCAATTACTGATTTCTGTTCCTCTGGGGAAGAATCAGGAGAATCATCATCCCGATCTGAATATACAGACCTAGTAACTGTGGAAAAATCTAACTGAACTTGTATGACTGGTTCAGGGGAGTCAGGGCAAGATGTATGTTTCACACTGGACTTAGGAGGCATATCCCCCATATGCATGGTGGGGAGGTCCTCAGCTCCTACAGAAGGAGCCTCTTCTGTTGATATTTCAGTGGAGGCTGAATTCCCCATGTGGGAGTTAAGTTGAGCATCTGAAGCAGGTATTTCCTCTACTTCCTCACTCAGGTCATCTGGAAGTAAGTCTGCTTCATCACTCACTGTTTCTTTTGATTCCGAGAGAGCTAGTGACTCAGCTGATGTCTCCCGTTGTGGGGGCTCAGCCGCAGGACTCCCTTCTTTCATGTCTTCAGAGAGAGTCTCTTCCCTGGATTCTTGCCCAATTTGGAAAAAGTGAAAACTTTCATCTGCATAGGACCTTTTGGTCATATCAATGGCACCACTTCGGGTCATCTCAAACAATTTTCCTTCCTGAAAGAGAAATGGATTTTGCTCACTGGTTGGAGTCCCCTCTTCAGTTGGGGTCCTTGCAGGAGTGGTGTCAGGGGTGGTGCCCTGTGACTGTCTGTCTACCATCAAACCAAATATCTTCTGCTCTTCCTCTTTCACTCGAGCTTCAAAGGCTTCATCATCCTCACGGATTTCACTCCAGGAATCAGAATCCACATCGGTTTTTGTGATGATGACTTTGCTAATTTGTTCACCAACGACTGCTGCTGTATTTGGTATAGAAGGCTCTAAAGATGAGGGGCCTTTCTCTGATTGAGGTTCCCACAAGGTGCTTTCTTGTTTGGATTCTTTTTCCATATTTTGGTTCTCAAAATTAGATTCTTCACTTGAAATAGTTCCACTGGAGGAGCTTGTTACCACTACATCTTCGACAGAGGATTTGATGGGAACAGAATACACTTCAGAAGAGTGAAAACTTGTGTGTCCTGCATCTGTTTGGGTTTTGCTTTCTTCACTGGAGAAAAAAGATTGGGAAGGAACATTTTCATAAGGGCTTATTATTTGAGGATCGTAGATTTCATCAGTCTCAGCTGGGTCAGACACAGGAACATCCATGGACAATTTATCTGTTTGAGTAGTAATCGACGAGTCTTGAGTGGAATGGTCCTTTGGTGAGTTCTCAAATTCTTGGTCAGTTTTGGTGTCTTCCATTTTTGAAGAAGATGGAGAGGCGATGTCTTCATCTAATTCTTTTCCTTCAGATGCTGGACAATGAGGAAAAGAGGACAAAGATGAAGAGCTTTCACTGGGGCAATCTACTTGTAGAGATTCCACTCTAGAAACATTAAGCTCTTCTTCTTCTATGTTTTTGTCATCAGTGTCTTGGAGAGGTAATGGTTCTTTATGGATAACTAGCTGTTCATTGATTTCTCCCCCAGTGGGGCTGCGGAGACCTGAAGATACAGGAGTTACTGAGCCACTAGGACTCCCAGCCTCACACTCATGGCCATCACAGACTTCTGGTTGATCAGCACATCTGTTCAGATCATCATAAGATGTATCTGGGCCACTGGAAGAAATGGTATGACTGTCCTCAGGTATGTGGGGTTCATGATCTTTTTCTTCCTCTGATTTACCTGATTCTTCCTGAGTATCTTCATTCATCTTGAAAGTGTATTGTTTGGAAACAATAGGCTGAAACTGTACTTCTTCAGGACTAGAATTGGAGTCTATGCTGGATGGAAGTGGGGAAGGAGGCTGCACTCGAATAACTGGCTCTGGTATGAGGCCTGAGTCAGCACCTTGTTTCAGCTGTGCCAACTCAGGTTCACTTTCTGAGGAGGAAGAAGCCTTTCTGCTCTCTGATGTTACTACCACAGGGACATTGTTTTCATCCTCTACACTCTCCATACGTTTTGGTTCATCCACACCTGCTAAACAGTCAGCATCTGGGTCAGAGGATGAAGAAGATTCTTCTTGCTTGGGTTCTTTTCTGTAGTCCCTTTTCTGCTTTGCTTCTTGTTCAAGTTCATCAAACGTTTTGATTTTGGTTACCATTTTAAACATTTCCTCTTCAGGTGTAAATCTCTTTTTCTCCCCATTTTCCAAGTCATCCTCCTCTGCACATTCATGAATTACAGCTGGTTTGGGTGTGCTTGTATCTGTGGCTTTGGGCGTAACCTCATAGCTAATTTCTTCAGAGCTGGGGGTGTCAGGAGAAAGAGGGCTCTTCCCTGAGCTCTCTACCAGTGATGTCTGCTCAAGACTGTCATCTTCAGCACTGCCGTCTGGGTCTCGGAGCAGCCGGGACCGCATCGAGGCCACTTCCGTGAAGATTTCTGTTTTGGCTACGGCTGCAGGAAGAGGAAAGTGACTTGGGAGAACTCCAGCCTTCATCTTTGGTTCCACAGGACTGCTTTCAAGAGAGTCACGGCAAGGGGATTCTTTCAGAGGACTTGGCTCCAGAGAATCTGGAGTTTTGTGTGAGGAGTTATCCTCTAGCACAGGGCTGGCTTCCAGGGAGTCTCTGTGGCTCACTGCAAATGACTCATCAGCACCAGGGCTGAGGACCTCACTATCTCGGCTAGGGAGTGCAAGTTCTAACCCTTGGGGACTTCTAGCTACTCCCTGGGGCTTTGATTCAGCCCCTGTGCCTGTCTTTACAGAAGCATCAGGCAGTGGAGAGGACTTGGTCTCATCTGAGGGCTTGGTGGTTGTGGATTTCTGAGCTTCAGTATCAGTTTGTGTCTTGTGGGCTGAACCACCATATTTAAGTTGACCCTCATCAGAGGATGCTTCCTCAGGCAATTCTTTGGGTGTTTCTTTTGCTAACACACTACAGCTGCCAAGGGAATCATCTTCTTGTTTGGGGCATGTGTCTTTGGAAGGCTCTAGGGTGGTCTCCTTCAGCAAACACTCAGCTGAGGGCTCTGTGCCTTCAGTGACTAGAGCACCTTGCTCTTCAGAACCATCAGTAGTGTCTTTTATTGAGGGATGTTCTTTTTCAGAACGAATTTCTGTTGGTGCTTCTAACTTGGTAGGTTCGCTTATTTCCCCAATTTGCTCCTCATTTTTCTTTGGTGAGAAAGAAAGGCTTTCTGGGCTTGTCTCAGGGGTCTCTGCTAGGCCCTCATGCTTGTAGCTTTCTTCTGAACTAATCTGAGGGGTCCCTTCCATCAGGCTGCCACATGGAGAACCTGCCACCCCTTCAGGCTTTAGGCTCTCAGAACTGCCATCCAAAGCACCACTTTGTAAAGACAGAGCTGGAAGAAATTCATCTTTCATGTAATCTAGTGGAAATGTTGTGTTGAAAGGACTAGTGAGCACTTGGTCTAGGTGAAGCTGTACTTCTTCAGTCTCCTCACTCATTCGGAACTGTTGGTATTTGTCATTGTCTTCCAATTCTTGCTTAATGACATCAGAAAAGTCAGTGGAGGTCTTCCTGTCTGGGCTGATCTGGAGATCCAGGTCTCCCTGTTCATCTGCCAGCTTTTCTTTGGGGACTTCGCTCTCTTTATGGCTTTCTTCTTCTGGTGCTGACTGAACAGGTTCAGGTGTTTTGTGGCCAAGAACTTTCTCCTTCTCTACAGCTACCTCTTCTCTCTTAAGCCCTATGGAGGAAGCACGGACCGCTCTTTTGGATTCGGTAACTCCCGTTACCACAAATCTCTGACCTCGTTTGATTGTGTGACTCTCTGTTTTCTGTGTTTCTCTCTGGGTTGGCATCTGCCCCTTTTCTTTTTCTACCCGAACTTTGCCTTTTTCTTGTGGCTGCTTTTGTTTTGCGGATTTGTGCTCAAAGAGTCCAGTCTTATGTTTAGATGGGTCCTGACCTGACTGGAAAGCCTTCATCAACTCCCGAACAGACATGGTCTCCTCGATTCTTTCTGTTTTTGAGGTGGGGGATACAGGTGGTTGCTTTTCTGTTTTCCCAGAAGGCGACACAGGCAAGTGTTTCTCAGTTTTCCCAGAGGTTGATACAGGTGGATGCTTTTCCATTCTTCCAGCTGGTGATACAGGCAAGCGTTTTTCTGTTCTCCCGGGTGATACTGGGGCATGTTTCTCTGTTCTCCCAGAAGGCGATACAGGTGGGCGTTTGTCCATTTTACCTGAAGGTGAAACAGGTGGGTGTCTCTCTGTTTTTGTAGATGACACAGGGGAGTGTCTTTCAGTTTTTGTCGAGGGTGACACAGGTGAGTGTTTCTCAGTTTTACTTGATGACACAGGTGAGTGCCTTTCAGTTTTTGCAGAGGGAGACACAGGGGAGTGTTTCTCAGTTTTACTTGATGGTGATATTGCAGAATGCCTTTCAGTTTTTGTAGAGGCGGAAAGAGAAGAGTGTCTTTCTGTTTTAGAAGAGGGTGATGCTGGTCCATGCCTCTCTGACTTCGGAGAGGGTGATACAGCTGGATGTGTCCTGTGGGTTATCTTTTTTGGCACATCCTCTTTGCCTTTGACGCGGACAGGCAACTTGCTTCGACCTTTTTGTTCATCTTCCACTCGTTTCTGAAGGGCCTTTACTTTGTCCTTTATGGAACCAATGGGAGTCTCTTCTATCAAAGGTGAAGTGGCCTTTACGGTGGGAAGAGGCTCAGGGGCTAAACCGGTGTCTTCATCTAATGACTCTTCGGAACTACATTTTTTAAGTTCACTTTTTTCTGTACTACCTTGTACGCTTTCCTCTTTTTGTTTCTGTTTTTCTTTTAATTTCCTTCTCACTGGCTTCTTTATGCCCAGGCTTGGTTTGTGTTGTTTCTGTGCACTCTGTGTCTCACCTGGGGGTGCATCTTTCCCTTCATTTTCAGAGCTCCTGCCCACAGCCAGGGCCTCACATTTCTCCCCTGCTATCTCTTGAGCTGTCTGCTGTTTCTTTTCATGAGGAGACACATACGACTTTAGATCCTCAGTAAGGTAGTTCACTAGCCCAGTTGAGTCTTTCTCTACTTTTACGTCACCCTCTTTATCTATCCTAACTTCTACACATGGGTATTCGGTGATTTCTAAGGGTGCTTTTAGCCTAGCCTCCTCTATTTCCTCATCACTGACAATTACCCATTCCTCTTCCACTAATTCTTTCTCCGACTGAGACCTCGGCACACTGCCTTCATCTCTCGTGCAGGTTCCACTTCTCAGGATTTCATTCACTTTCTCTAAGTCCTCTTTAACTCTTTCAACAATTTCAAAAGGCTCTCCTGGCTCTTCCTCAGCAGCCTTCACCAGCTCCTTCACTTTGATAGAACCTGCCCTATCAGATACATCTGTGGTCAAGATGGCGGTCATTTTGATCAAATCTTGTTTCATCTCAGAAACTTCAGAGAGCAAGTCCGGACTGGCTAGGACAGGAACTTCATTAACCAGATGACTTTTCAGGACAGATGTTTCTGTAGATTCTGTCTCATCATCTTTGATGTGAATGAAAAACATTGAAAGTAAAATGGAAATCAAAAAATATATTGGCAAATGTAATCAGGACTGAAACAACACAGTGTCTTTTCCTGTTGTGGCGGGAGGGACAACAAAATGGGCTGGGAATGGTGGAGCCACAAGGTCTCAGGATACAAAAGCAAAGCAAGGCTAACGGAAAAAAAAAAACTGAAAAGGAAAAATGAGCAGGAAATAACTTGCTTAATTTTCTCACTTGTAGCACATTCACACATACAACAAAGCTGTAACAAATAGCCAAGACAGACAGACACACACACACACACACACACACACACACACACACACCCCATCACAGATCACAACAAAGAACGAACGCAGTGAAATTACACAGAGGTATCTCAAGATTGTTCAGATGTTACAGATCAATGTTGAAAAAAATATAAACATGGGAAAAAACGGAAAAAAGCATTAGAAATTGCAGAAAGTTGATTTCCTCTAGGAGAAAGCCAGTAGTAGCAAACTCAGAATGCCTTCTAATGATGTATATGTGTTTTTTAATCATATAAAAAATAAGGAATTCAGTATGTTTTGTTCTGCCATTATACAATGACTATATTGAAGATGTCTGAATCAGCTGCAAACCGGCATTTCATCTAAGGGAAATTCACACCTAACAATGAAACAAATGGTCTGGTGCTAAGAGGCATGGTCCTTTCCTTGGAGCAACCTCCTGGTTTAGACACATAACGGACAGACCAAGGAGGGAAAAAAGGAAAGGAAAGGAAAAACAAGAAAACAACCAAACAACAACTGTGATTAAACATATATGTGAGTCCAAAGTTAAAATGTGATGCATGGCAATCCAAATCAGAGACAGTCACACAGGACACACGCACAGTTTATGTAAGCCAAGTTATTTCCATGCAAAGCAAAGGTGAAGGAAAACCGGTGGCCAGGGTGGCCTTGCTGAAATGCACGGGCAGGAGGATGGGTTGGAAATTAGAACAAGTATGTAAAACGTTACTGTGGTGAGGCGTATTTAATTCCACACAAGTCTGTACCTAAGGTGCTGAGTGTCTTATATTTGAGGTATAGGTAGTGGGGACCTGCACCCATTCACAGCAAAAAAGGAAAACTCAAACTCGTTCAGGATTTGCTCTTGAAAAGAATTGGGAAAGTGTCTCTTCAATAGAACCCTTCTTTAGAGATTATTTTACACCTAGATGAAGATCATTTAATGATTGTCTTTAAAGTAAAAGAAAACCAAACATGAGTCTATATTTAAGCTTTAAAATATATTTATAACACCTAGAATCTGGGTCATCATAGCAACACAGTAACTTTTTTTTCCTTTTTTAAATGACTGAGCAGTGGGGGGGGGGTGTATTAAATTTTAACTTCTACTAGCTAGCATTCAAGGAACAAAAGAAAGGCCATTTAAATAAACCTAGTAGCCCTGAAGAAGAAAGCAAGATAATAAAACAAAATCTCTTTTTAAGAAAAGGAGTTAATTAATGCAATAATAATGTCACTTTTTTAACAAATAAAAGTGCCTTGAGAGAATCAGCACTTGTTGAGGAGACATACTCTGTGAATATGCATATATAAAGACATATTAAAATAATTTATATTGATGTAAATTTATTCAAGTATAAGCCAATGAAAACATTCAGAATTTCAAATAATCTAGTCCTGAATGTCAATTTAATATAAGAGCAAAGAGACTCAATCAAAAGTATTCCAATAACTTAGTTGTAATTCACATTGTACTAAGTCTTCAAAAAAAAACAAAACCAAAAAACCCAAAAAAACCCCCAGATCATTGCACAGGGTCAGATGACCACATCTGGTGGTCATTAAACATGGTCCTATGTTTCCTCCTTTTGGAATTAGCACCCTGAAATACAGTGAATAAAAATGAATTTTTAAATGAATAAACGTTAAAAATTGGTATTTTTTCCCCTATACCATTTGGGGCATAAAAACAAAAAAGAAACCTGAAAAATTCAACTTTTTCCACACAAGAAGCCAGAAACAGGCCAAAACACTAAACTGTTAATGGATTGCTACAAACCGGAAACGAGTTCTAAGACAGCTCTCTTAAGGTCTGTGAAAACCAGTTGTGTCTGTACTAAATTATGTTTGGGATTTGCACCATTATTTAAACTTAGCCCTATAATGGCACACTGTTGTGATTAATAATTTCATCCAGGAGTTTTTGATCTTTGCATTCTTGGTTCTTTTTTTTTTTCTTCCCCAGAAAGTTTTCACAAAAGTCCGTTAGACCTCAGCCCTAAAGAAGTCAGTTACACTTCACCACAGTAAGAGGTGCTAGGTGGTGGGGGTGGGGGGAGGGTTAGCTTTAGCTGAGAACTATTAAGACAGTATCACTTTTGCAGGTGTAGCCTACAAAAATAATGAGCCCTCTGCCCAAGTCAGTGTTGCTTGATATAAAAAGTGATACTGTCATGTCAGTGCTTAAAAAAAAAAAAAAAAAATGAGATGACAATGTTATGCTAACAAATGGACAAAAACGGTAGGGTGGGTTTCTAAACAAGCATAACAGCAGTAGCAGGGTTAACAGGGGTATCAAAAGAAAGTGAATGCTTAGATGAATAATAATTGCATTTTACTGCTAATTAGCTCATTAAGATATTTTTGTAATTTAACTGGCCAAGCTGCTTTTCTAAATATACATTAATGATTAATAAGGACAATATAAAAATATAATAATTATAGTGGTTAGTAATGGCAACTAGCTTGCATCTTAATTCATGCTTCTCTTTATTGTAGCCAGCTTTCAAACAAATTCAATTTTATTTAAAATCTTACTTTTTTCTGATGTCATATCGATCTGAAAGAAAAGATACACAAATTGAATGGTTACAAATTGCGTCTTGTTTCACAGCCCCTGATGTGCAAGTAAGCTCCTATTGATAATCACAGCCATGGGGAGACACCATAAACCAGAGGAAGGTCTTTGCTACAGTTCTTCCTGAGAGTCTCCTGGATTCTTATCCTAACTTTGAAAAAACAAATCTCCTTTCTAGGCGCTATAGGTGGAAAGTGCTTTTTAACATGTCGTTCCTAGGAAGATGTGATCCAGGGTGTGTTTGATGTTAGAAATACATATTTATTAGGTGAAAGGCCAGGAAAAGTGCAAAATAGGGGTTAGACAGTAAGTGTCAATGTAGTTGTGAAAAAGAAGGAAAGAACAAAGAGCATGCCAGGTAATACATTCTACGGAAGTAGTTTCAGTATCATTAATTACAAGCCAAAATTCCAAACCCTGAAAAGGATCCAGGAAACTGGATTTACTGCCCTGAACAGCTCCTGAGAATACTCAATAGAGTAATCATAAACCTAACACAAGAAACTCACTTAAACACAGCAAAAATGGTTTGAGGGGCACCTGGGTGGCTCAGTCGGTTAAATGTCCGACTTCGGCTCAGGTCATGATCTCACAGTTTGTGGGGTCAAGCCCCACGTCAGGCTCTGAGCCATCAGCCCGGAGTTGAGCTGAGCCTGGAACCTGCTTCAGATGCTGTGTCTCCCTCTCTCTCTGCCCCTCCCCCACTTGGGCGCGCGCATGTGCACGCTCGCGCTCTCTCTCTCTCTCTCTCTCTCCCAAATAAACGTTAAAAAACCATGGTTTTAAAACTGCATTGCTCTTCTAAGAAGGTGTGTAGGTACCATTTTGAACAGCTCTGGTGATAGAAGCACCAAGTGCAGGAGGGAAACAGAATATGTGAGCCAAAAGAGTGACTCTCCAGTTGAGGGAAAGGATGACATCAGTCTTGTTGCAGTGTACTATGTATATGGTTACACATGGTGGGACCATGAGTCTATAATCACCCCTCTTGTCCTGCTCCACTGCCAGAGTAGGAGGAAAAGTGAATTCAGGGGGATCCTCTGCACTGACAAGGCCTTACATTTTGGGCTGGTGAGTACAAGAGTATTTATTATATTTTTCTTTATGTTTTTGTATTCAAAATCCATCAGACTAACATTAAAAATATAAAACTAGTATTATTGAAAATATTTATGTGCAATTATTAACAACTGCATTTGTCTATCTTAGAAACAGGAACCAGCATGTAAATAGGAAAGGAGAAGGTATTTCCCAATGATTTCTTTCATTTCTATGATAATGTTTGGGCACCTTCAAATCTTTAGAAGGAAAACAAACACACATGTGCCTGAAGAGGTCTAATTCAAATGGTTCTTTATTCAAGGTAACCTCTCTAAGACTCGCTTTCTTCACCTATGATATAGCATCTATGATATGACAGCATAGCCCTCACAGGGCAATTGTGAGACATTAGTGCTTATGAGGTATGTGGAGCACTTAATAAAGAATCTATTTTATGAGAAATGCTCATTATTAGTAGAGATCTGCATTATAATATTATAGGCTAATGGTTGAGCTATACACTCAAAACTTATAGTTTCTGGTCTCAGTGGTTCTCAAACTTTGTGGTCCTAAGGCTCCTTTACACTCCTAAAAAGGGACTGAGAACCTTGAAGAACTTCTGTTTATGTTTGATATACACAAGTAAATATCTGTTTCATACATTAAAACTGAGAAAATGCTAGAACCCAAATATACACAAGCAATATGCCAGAGTCAGAGTGATGATATTCATCATATGTAATGCAGTCCCCCGGAAGACTCCTCCACAGCTTGTGGAGATATGGGAAATAAAAGGCAAATAATGTCTCAGTAGCATTAAAAACAAGTTTTGACCCCCAGACATCTCCAGATCAAGCTTTGAGAAATGAAATAATAGTCTGACCTTCAGTAGTTGGTAGGGAAACATATATTACTGCACAGAGACAGGGTAACAATTTACAGGGGAACGCTTTACTATTCTTTGAATTGAGTCTACGAGATGAGATGAGAAAACAGAGGCTCAGAGAGGTTAAGAAAGACCGTGACCCTTCAATTACTAACAACTGTATAACTCTTCTTAGAACACAGGTTAACTACATGTTCTTCTTAATGGTTAGAGCAAATACAGCCATCAACAAGCAACAGTGTCATATAATTACCTCTTCCTCCTGTTCTTGATCTGACTCTGATTCCTTGCCGCCCCAAGATGCCATGCAAGATAGAAAAAAGAGCAGAAAGAGTAGACAGTATTTAGAAGAAAAGAAAAGATTTAATATGTTGCCAACAAACATCAACAGGCAAGCATACAGACAGCATACTTTTTTTTTTTCTAAGAGCTTATAGAAGACAGGCACAAAAATTTAAAAAAGGATTGATTTAAATGCCAAAGTCTGTAGATTGAAGAGGCAAAAGAACCAACATTATATGCTAATTTATTAGTCAAAGGAACTAAAATTATAAACATATTCATTTCAGATACTAGGTTACTAGCAGCCTTAAGGCTTGACATTTAGTGGATTTGATGCCCATGTCTACAGAAATGATGATGAATATCCCAGTCATTACAGACGCTGGCTGAAAATCTTAAAAGCCACAAAAAAACATACGGTGAATATATTTTGAATATACAGGTAATATTTAGAAGTTCTATTATAATAAGGAACTACTAAATTCTAAAGTATATCTGAAGTGTACAATGTTGTCATTATTTTCCTTTTTGCTTTGAGCTGCTAAATGGAAAGCTGTCCTGGACCATCACAGCATTAATAATATGTACTGACTTAGAAATACAGTGTAACAATACAGGAAATTCTTTCTTTCATCGCACATTGAAGCTCACTGAAATCGGAGACAAAGTTCATTCATCTTTATATGTCACGCAGGTGGACTGCACAGCAGTATATATGTTGTTAAGGTTCTTATATGGCATTCTGTTTCAGTGACTTACAAATCTATAAACCGAAAGTACATTTCGCATCAACTGGAGTGAGATTAGATTATGCTCATTTGGATGGATACTACCTATTGCTCTGTTCTAATTACTGGAATAACATGTAAGTTTACATATACAGATAATGTTTCGTTTTTATCACAGAATCAGAATTTGCAATATTAAAACATGATGCTATGAGCTTTTCTCTATGTGACTCATCTCTATTTATAAGAACAAGTGGTTAAGAAAAATAGACCATCATGGGTTAAAAAGAAGTGTAGAAAATGCTTTTTTTGTGGAGTCAAGATTTAGGGTTTTAAATGTATTTCTACTTCTCCTCCAAGTCTCACCTGCCACTACTCACCCTCCACCCCAACCTCTAGTACACACTCTGACAACCTGCTGCAGCCCCCTATAGGCTGCCACATGCGAGCTTTCTATGGAAAAGATACTGGTTAAAATTGTTCTAAGTAATCAAATAAAGTTATCCCCGACATTTAATTCATTCGGTTGTCATTTTCAACTTGATCAGAGTAAGCAAGGAATTCTGTAATGGTGAGAGGTTTAAATAGAAAGTAGTATCTGGTGGGGTGCCTGGGCGGCTCAGTCAGTTAAATGTCCTACTCTTGATTTCAGTTCAGGTTGTGATCTCACAGTTGTGAGATCGAGTCCTGTGTCTGGCTCCACACTGAGCATGGAGGCTGCTTAGAATTCATTCATTCATTCATTCATTCATTCATTCTCTCTCTCTCTCCACCCCCCCAACCCTCAAAATAAATAAACATCTTTTAAAAATGACTGTTATATGTGCTTGCATTCAATGCTTTTGGTTTTATTTTAAAGGATTTGAAAATTAAATCCTATACAGACTGAAGTGCACTATAGCAGATTTGACAATACCTTTGTATAAATTGGCAGGGTGATGTTTAAGTTGCAAATAGCTTGATGCACCAGGCCTCTTGTGGATTTGGGCTCTTTCATAAATGATAGTCGCCCGCAAGGTTCCTGAGTCGTATCACGTACCTTGAAGGAAAAAGGCATACATGCTTCACCCAGATATGATGTATATAATTTATTTTAATTAGAGGATACTCAAAAGAATCAGGAAGAAATAAATTCATTGATAATGCCAAGGATTTAGAGGTGTTCCTTTCTTTTGCTATTATCATTTAGAATGACTTTAAAAAAATCATTCGGCTTTTAAAAAATTGCTGTAAGATATACATAAAATTTACCACGTCCATTTTTACACTTACCATTTTTAAGTGTTCAATTTAGTGGCATTAAGCACATTCACAAACTTGTGCAATCATCACTACTATGCAGAATTTTCCATGATCCCAAACAGAAACTCTGTACCCATTAAGCAAGAACTCCCCATTCTCCTCTTGCCTGCCCTCAGTCACCTCTATTCTACTTTCTGTCTCTATCAGTTTGCCTCTTCCAGGTACCTTGAATAGACAGTTATACAATACAAAGGATAGAGTTATCCTTTTGATTCTAGGTTATTTTACCTAGCATGATATTTTCAAGGTTCAATCATATTGCAACATATATCAAAGTTTCATTCTTTAAAAAAATTGTGTTAAAATATACATAATATAAAACTTAGCATTTCAACCATTTTTACACACACAGTTTTTAGCGGCATTAAATACATTCACGTGGTTGTCCAACCATTACCCCCATTCATCTTTGGAACTTTTTCATCTTCACAAACTGAAACCCTGTTTGCATTAAACAATAGCTTCCCATTCCTCCCTTGCCTCCCTCCCCTGGCAACTACTATCCTGTTTTCTGACTCTATGCATGTGACCACTCTAGGTACCTCATGTTAAGTGGAAACATTGAATATTTGTCCCCTTGTGTCTGGCTAATTTCACTTAGGATATATCCTCGAGGTTCCTCCATGCTATAGCTTATATCAGAATTTCATTCCTTATTAAGGGTGAATAATATTCCTTTGTATGTATATACCGTATTTCATTTATCCATTCACCTGTCAATGGATATTTGGGATGTTTCCACCTTTTGGCTGTTATGAATAATGCTCTTATGAACACTGCTGTGCAAGTGACTGTTTGAGTCCCTGCTTTCAGTTCTCTTGGGTATACACCTAGAAGTTGAATTGCTGGACCATATGCTAATCTATGTTTAAATTTTTGAGGAATCATCAAACTGTTTTCCACAGTGGCTACATCATTTTGTATTCCCACCAGCAATAATCAAGGTTCCAATTTCTCCACATCCTTGCCAACATTTGTTAGTTATTTCATTTTTTAACAATGGCAAACCTAATGGGTACAAAGTGGTATCTCATTGTGATTTCAATTTGAATTTCATTAAGCTGTTGAGCATCTTTTCATATGCTTATTGGCCATCCATATAACTTCTTTGGAGAAATGTCTAAGTCCTTTGCTCATTTCTGTATTTGGTTGTTTATAGAATGATTTTGCACATCAACAATACCAAGTATTAGCTTAGTTATACACCCATTTGCGTTAAATGGATCCATTACCACTCGGCAGTTATAGCTTAACGTGATGATCTACAGAACTTCTCTTTAAGCAGGCAAAACAATCAAACCAGAAATGGCACCACAAAAGACTCAGAGGAGATTTGGGGAAAGCTTAATAGATTTTTTAAAAAGTTAAAAGAGGTGTACTGACATATACTTGGAAAATAATAAGGGATTAAAATAAGTCACTGCTGACAAACTGTTGGGAATTAGTAGTCTAAAGTCAGTGTAATAAAAACTGATGGAGACCAGCTTCTATCTTGTGAGGATTGAACATTATTAGGACTTCTAGAACAGTGAAATACACTGAGAAATAAGAAAAAACTGAGTGACTGGAGAAATAGATAACAGAATTATTACTTCCTTTTAATTTCATGAATCTCTCCATCACACATTTTTGTCCCTCTTTATAATTGGACTCTAGAATGAAATGTGTGTCCATGAAGGCCAAATTCCTAACTTGGATTAACGTTCTTAAACGCAACTTAAACAGAGACAACAGATTCATGGTGTAGTGAAGTGTCTCCATAAACGTTTGCTGGATGAATTTTTTAAAATATATCCAATTCACAGCTCTATCTGGGATAATTTCTTACTAGATTAAGTGAGACCCTGGGTCCTTTGAGAGCTTCTATTACAAAATATTGTCACTTAGAACTCTTTTGGTCTCCACATTAATGATATTCATGCATCTTTAAAAATTAAGCATAAATATTTAAAAGAAATATAGTAAAAAAGAAGAAAGAGACTTCTTTCAAAATTTGGGAAAAATGGCCAGTTTTTCTAAATAACAAATTGTCTATCCGTCCTAATTCTCAGCCTTATGAATTTGAACCTCAAAAACAAAAGTGTTTGGTTTTAGAGGACTTTAAAGTTTCATAGATATGGTTTAAAAAAATTACTGGAAATCATTGAAAAGCAAATATTATCTCCTCCTAAAGGAAATCAAATCCTTACTTGATCTTAAATAAAAGGCATTGCAAAATTTCATGTATATATTACCTTGACAAAGAGAGGAAGTCGGTTTTCTTTAAAGGCAAAAAAACTGAATATATGATGTTGGCCACTCTTGGTTAATGGCACCAGGTTGCCAAAACAATCCACATAGATTGGTTTTCCTTCTAGTACCTGATGAAAACAGAGAAAAATAACATAGAGTATAATAGCTGTAATTATCACGTGTTATTTACATAAAAAAAGTGGTGATGCTACTTGGACCATGAAAATTCTTAAAATACACATATATAATCTTTAAATTGCTGACTGACATTTTTGTCTTATCGGTGACAAAGCATGTGCTAGTACCCCCTTCCTCTTCTTACTGGTATAGGAATTACAGGAATCTTCAAATGCATGGTGGCAGTTTTAATGTTTTCATTTCTAATAGTTTCATGTTACCCCTCCAAAACCAATATCTCTTTAAGTCCCACATTTGAATTTCTGACTGGGTAATTTTTGACATCATAATGAATCAGGTAACTTGACTTCAAAATCCAAAGGCCCACTGGTAAAAAAAAAAAAAAAAAAAAAACCCAAAATAAGAAAAAGTAATGTAGAAAAGTCCTGGATATGGTACTTTCACATTTACACAAAGGATATACTTCCCAACGGCTTTCTTTACTATTAAACAATAATAGGAAACAACAAGGAAAGATAAAGACATCTAAACTATTACAGTCAGTTATATACTTTACCAATAACTCATAATTTTTCCCAAAATAATCTTCAACAGAGTCCTTTTATCTACTTATACACACTGAGACTGTCCCTATACCCAAACAGGTTAAGAATGGCTGATTTTGGACCTCGACCTTCTAACTGATCAAAATGTGGATTGGTCTTTTTTTTTATAGCTCTATTTATTAAATACTATTTTAAATATAATATATTAGTAAGGGTATAAACACCATGTCAATACAAATTATTTTTGTAAATACAGTACCTCTACATCCCTGCTTCTGGCCACCTCAGCAAAATTTTCTTGTTGTTCAAGGGTCTTATCCACCTTATCATCAGTCATGCAGAAACATCTCAACCTGGCTTCAATGGGGTCATGTGACTTGGCAAACACAACAAATTTGGCCATATATGGTACACAGATAATTTCTCTATACACTTGTGATGCAAAGGTAACAGATTCCTGGATTTGCCGACAATCTATCAGCCAGAACCTACAAAAGGAAATAAGGTAAGTTATTTGAAATTTAAAGTACAGCAGTTGAAAAACAACAACAGCAACAACAACAATCCCTTCACTGTGATCAAAACAGTCACTAAATGTTTCTTGGAAAAAGAAGGGAGTGAAGAGGGAGATGATAAGAGAAACTAAAAGGAAAGAAAGAAAGTGAAAGGAAAGGTAGAAAGATGGGAAGGAGCAAGGGAGTTCAGGAGAAGAGAGAAAGATCAGGTGTTTAAAATCAGCTATCAAATGCAGTATTTGTGATTTTCTTCCATAGAGACTCTTCTGAGTATTCAATCTTCTCAACTCTATCTCAGCACTTTAGAATCTTCTAGCATGTGAATTCAGTATCGGACATTATGACAAGTATCGCACTGAATAAGAATTTCTATTTCCTTGATTCCCTTTCCTATTCTTTGTTTCGTTTCCTGAAACTCTTTTCAATAATATCTACACAGCTTTTGTTCATCATTCTTTTCCAGTAACCTCTCCAGACACCAAGGTTGGTAAAACCATTTTAAACAATTTGCTTTTGCTCCAGAACTTCTAAATATTGAGTATAATTCATAGAAGAAATTATTTGCTTGTCACCAATTTATGAGTTCTAACCCCAACTAAGTCTGTGACATTGCCTGGCAACTTTCTCCTCGGATATCATTTTATTCAGCATACTAACTTTGCTAAGCTTTTAGCAAAGCTTGAGCCCCACCCCCCGCCCCTCATCTGAGGCCCTAAGAAAGACAACTTCACTGAAAAAGAGGTCATTGATGGACATTTTCCCAATCTGCTATGTATACACTTTCAAAGGTTGTTCCACATCCTCTTGCTCTGAAACGTTTCCTCAACAATGATCACCTTCCTCCTCTTGGCTCATTTCCCATAATCTTTCAACATTCCTGAGATTTCCCTATCGTCTTGGCCTCTCTTTTCTTCAAGTTCTTGATCCATCTCTTTTCTTTTTTTACTGGCTTTGGTAAAATATATATAATGGAAAATTTACCATTTTAACCATTTTTAAGTGTAACCATACTTAAGTGTAACCATTAAATACACTTACAATACCAACTGCTTAGTCTATCCCACAAGGCCTTCTATAAACAATGCACAATCCAGCATTACTTCTGAATTATAGATTACCTGGATCATTGTTGCAACCCCTCAGGACGCTCTTGCATTCTATCTTGGCATCTTTGCTCATGTTACTCTCTTTTCCACTTTCCCAATCTGCTTATTGGGTTCCTACATGTCTCATGAGTTACCTCTTCTTGGACATCCTCTACATCCCAATGCAAACACTCTCTGCTGAATTCTTTAGTAACTCTGGTGGACCTCTCATTCAAAACTTGCCATTGTCTTGCATTAGAGTATAGATGCCTGAGTGGCAGAGCATACTGACAGAGAGCTCGAGACTCAGTTGCTGAACCTGAGTGGCTGAGACTATAAACATGGGCCATCAAACCCAGGTATTGCTGTGCACTGTTACTGAGCTATTCATGAATTTCTATTTTTTCATTTCCCCACTAAATAGAAATTTACGTTTTAACCACTCTCAACTTTAGTTTTCTCATCGGTAAAATGGACACAATACCTCTTGTTCTATTTAAGTCACACAGTTGTTGTAGTTGTCAAATTAAATAAATGGGAAAATGCTTAGCAATCCACTGATCCCAATGCAAATGGGAACTAAATAAACTGACTCTTGTGTGCATGACATAAAATTAGATAGCTTCAGCTTTTAAAAGATGTGTGATATGTAAATGGATAAGACATGGGTAATGGGTAAATGTGTTAGAAAGCATAAGGGTCACTGAAACCTCTAAACCACTGAAGCCAGCCATGGCCGGCTTTGTGTTTTTATTACTCTGTTGGAAAAAGTAGTTCAGGCTATTTTTTGACAGCAGGAAATTTGTCTTTCCTAAGACCTTTAGGACTGGAAAAATCAGTGGTGGCTGCTAAAACCAAAGTCAAGGTCATACAGTCAAAGCCGACAATCACTTATTTTTCTTAGATTTTAATTTGACTGCTTGTCCTTTGTTATTATATCATCACTATTATATTTGCTGGCAGGTCTGGTTTAAAATCTGAAAATGCAGATGATCTTTAAAAGCAAACCAAAAAGATGTACTTTTAAAGGATGTAAGAAACTAAAAACAAAAGACAATGGGGAGGGGCAATATCATAGTGGGCTTTTCTGGGCTGCATAACCATACCTGGCAGACACATTGGTTGTAAAGGAAACACATTCATTGACAAATGTTAATGGCGTAGTTCCTGTAATATCTTCCCATTGTGCAGGGGTGGTTCCACCTGAAATAATAGGATTGTTTTTAAAAAAAATTTGGGCAAAACTCCAGACTTTGAATTGTAAAATAAAGTCACTGTGGTTCTGGCTGTGTTCACCTCTTAGTCCCACCCACCCCTCAAAATGACATGTTGGAAACATGTCTAAAAACCACATGCTAAAAAATGACACACTGAAAACAAATAGCAGACACCACCTTTCGAGAAACTTAAGGGAAGTTATTTGAATAAATGCCTCAAATTACTTACCAAGTATTCTATGCTCTGACATTCTTTTTGTTTTAATGTTTCAAGTTTTTGTTTAAATTCTAGCTAGCATGTAGTATAATATTAGTTTCAGAAGTAGAATTTAGTGATTTATCACTTACATATAACTCCCAGTGCTTACTTAACACAACAGGTATGTCCTTAATATCCATAGCCTATCCCCTGCCCACCTCCCTCCATCAACCCTCAGTTTGTTCTCTATAGTTAAGATCTGACTAACACTCTGAAGCTTTTATTGTAATTGCTAGGCTTTGAATATATTTTAAATTGTAGCAGTTGATGATGTGAAAAGATACTTTGATCAACCAAGGAGCTGAATACTTTGTTAAGATAATAAAAAATCCAAGTATTCTTTTATTCCTGGACTTCACTTATTGTATTGTATTGTATTGTATGTATTTTATTTTATTTTAATGTTTTATTTATTTTTGAGACAGAGAGAGACAGAGCATGAGTAGGAGAGGGGCAGAGAGAGAGGGAGACACAGAATCTGAAGCAGGCCCCAGGCTCTGAGCTGTCAGCACAGAGCCCGACGCGGGGCATGACCTGATCTGAAGTCGGCTGCTTAACCGACTGAGCCACCCAGGCACCCCCATATTTTGTATTTTAACTATCATATTTTATTCATATTTTAAGAAATAAAATTACTTGGGGTACCTGGGTGGCTCAGTTGCTTAAACATCCAACTCTTGATTTCGGCTCAGGTCATGATCTCACAGATTGAGTTTGAGCCCTGCTTTGGATTCTCAATCTCTCTGCATTCTTCCCTTACTTTCTCTCTCTCTCTCTCTCTCTCTCTCAAAAATAAATAAACTTTTAAAAAACGAAATAAAATTTCTTCTCAATTTGTAGTTAAAGGCTGGTAAAAAAAAAAAAAAAAGCTTGGAAGATATTAAGAGCTCAATAAATACTGAAAGGTGGGTGAACACATGAATGAATGCTAAAGAAATGACCTCTATACATAGAAAAATCACCATGGAGGCTGAGGTGAACTTTCATTCTACTGGAAAATTAAGTTGGCATAGATAAGGATGAAAGAGTCTTAAAGCACTGCAAGAGGAATGTATGTTTGAGATGAAGAAAAATTGTGACTCTAAACTTTCTTAAAGGAAGAAATGAGTTATCATAGAAAGTTCATGGAACCTTATTCTAGTAGGCCTCTAAAATATTAATTCTTAGCAGAAGCACATAAGAGAGCAAAACACAAAAATCTAAACACTTTCACATATTTTTTAATTAACAAATAAATTTAAGAAAGTGTTTAGGGGCGCCTGGGTGGCTCAGTCGGTTAAAAGCGCCGACTCAGGTCACGATCTTGCTGATTACCTGTGAGTTGAGCCCCGTTGGAGCTCTGGGCTGAGGGCTCAGAGCCTGGAGCCTGCTTCGGATTCTGTGTCTCCCTCTCTCTGCCCCTCCCCTACTCATGCTCTGTCTCTCTCTGTCTCAAAAATAAATAAACGTTAAAAAAAGAATTAAAAAAAAAGAAAGTGTTTAGCATAAACCCATTTGAATAACTAGATTAGGTGGCACCTAGGCCCACGTGGTATCTTCACTGGATCTTCTACAAGGTCAGGGTGTGCCACAGACACTTTTCGGTCTTACTACTTTTGCTTCCATGCCATGAATGTTTCACATTATAGAGAGACTGTATACCCATGGAACAAAAAGTATCAGACTGACACCCAGGAATGCTGGGTGACAACCAGAAATGGGTAATTGGGAAAGAAGTCACACGTGAAGCATGATTTCCTTCTATACTCATTATAGTCTGTGTATCTTAAAATTCTGTCATATTATTAAACTTATGGGGTAAAGTCTCAATGGTTTGCTGTCGTAAGTAGAGGAAAAACACTAATTAGAAGGGGAATTAAGAGAACAAAATAAGAGTGAACATTCCTTTCAATATGGAGGAGAAATGAAAAAAAAAAAATTCTAACGATACCTAAACAACCAGGGATGGTTGTTATTCCTACTGACAACAGTATAAATATTTACTGAATGCCAATACCATGTGTTTACTGAATAGGGAAATTAGTCAAATTATGTAGTCTTAACACAGATTATTTGTGTGGGTTTTTTTTTCTCTTACCCAGTGGTGGTGGTATTTTGAGCAGAGAAAACCAATATTCTGGGAATGTCTTTCTGGAGTGTGGTAGTCATCTGAAAGCTACTACAACTTCCAATTGAAAAGGCCAAAATTCAGTTAATGATTAAAAACCTGTACTTTGTTTTTCCAAAGTTAGTTTAATAGATTAATGATAAAGACATATCAGTTCCTAGACAGAAGTTTGAACTACTGGGTATAGTTATTCAAGTGTTTGTTTTTCAGTAGATATAAGATGAGGTCTTCGATGAAGGCTTAAAGCTTGGGAGTAGAGGTATATAAATTTGGGTTTGAATTTCAACTCTAGCAAATATGTATGGTATGATCTCAGGCAAGTTACGGAACTTCACTAGGCCTTGGCTTCCTTTTGCGTAAATGGGTTTAACATTTCCTTATGGGGCCACTGTGAAGGTTAAAATGACAATGTATATAAAGTGTCCAATAGTTTGGCATACGAGCTGTATATAAATGTAATAAATATAAGTTCATTTCCTTTACCTTTCCTGTCCCTAATTAGAATGCTTTTCCTGAATTAATGCATATAACCTCACAGGTATCTTATGGCAAAGGTACTGAATATTTACAATGATCTACGTTACTTCTTTTGGAACTTTCTACTAGCATAGTCACAAGTGACTTACCTGTTATGCTGCATAGTAATCTTAAGGTTGGTGCATCTCCCCCAAAACCATTCAACATGACATCACTTGAAGCTTTGGGGACAGGAATGGTCATGGTAATTGGCTTGTGGAATTTTCTTCTTCTAGGTTCCAAAGTGACTATAGGGCTGAAGGTAGCTTTGTTGCCTAGAATCTTCTTAACCAGCTCACTGTGCATAGGTTGAGCCTTTTCAAAGAAAAACAATATTAAAATAAATGATATATCATTATATATATGTCAAATTTCTTTGACATAAGTTTCTCCACGTATCACTTTTTAGCCATAAGTCAGTTTGGTGACTTCAAACATGATAATTGTTAAGTTTAGTACTAAGCACATATATAAAACTTCATGAGACCTACAATCTCTAATGGCAGCTTTTGCTCACCTGGGAATAATTTGACTTGTTACCCACTTACAGTCAAACCTTGGTTTGTGAGCATAATTCAGTCCAGAAACATGCTTGTAATCCAAAGCACTCGTATATTGAAGTGAATTTCAAGAACCATTGGCTCAGTTTTGATCATGAGACATTCAGTGTCACATACTCCTTGTATTACAAGACACTGAGAGTTTATCAAGTTAAAAATTTTTTTTCAATATATGAAATTTATTGTCAAATTGGTTAAAATTTATTAGAAGGGTTTGCTCATCGAGTTACTTACAATCCAAGGTTTTACTGCATTTCCCATTTGAAAAGCTGATTTCCAATCACTACAATAAAAATCCATGTTAGGTTAACGTGTATCCAACATGGGCCTACCTGTAGGCCTACACGGATCCTCTTGGTTAGCGCCCCCTCTGGGAAGACGGCCTGCACCTGGGGCACCACTGTGCTGCTCAGCACGCCCCCCTCGGGGCCAATCAGGTTGCTGTCCTGTTTGATCCGAGACACCACTGCAAAGTACTGTGGGAAGTCGCGGGTGATGATGCGACAGATCCGTTTCTTTTCTAGGTCTTCCGGGCTATCCAGCACTGAGACAAGAAATGACCCATCTTCATAGAGCAAGGATTTCCATCCAAAAACATTCTAGCAAACTCCTTGGCACAGTTCATAGTAAACCAGTATGGCAGCAAGATGCCTTGTTTTAAATAGGAAAATTTAAAAAGCAAGACTACCTATCCTAACACTAGAAAAAAAAAAAATTGCAGTCTCTCAAGACCTATTGGCATTTAGTCTGCACGTTTTATTTCTCTGTGGAAACTAGGTCTTTGCAGGGCCCTGGGAAAAGAGAGCATCCAGCTCCAGATACAGTATTGCAGCACTGCCTTTGTAAATGAGGGGTTTTGAGGGCAAACCTGAAATGGAAATGAACCTGTTCTATTCTTGGTTCACGTGAAAGAGAGGAAACTGTTTGTGGACTCCTTTTCTTTGCAAATTTCAAAGTTAGCTCAAATACCAGTTACTGTGGTTTTAAGAAGGAAGATGGCCCTTTCAGTTCTCAAGGCCATAGTGACGGAATAAAATCTGTCTTGTAAGGGTAAGGTTTGTGTTCACGTGTTTATTCTAGTGACGTGGTTGTCTCTGAAATAGTCAGATACAAAAAAAAAAAAATCAGCGATTATGAATTCAGGGTTTCAATATTCTCCTGAAACCATTAACTTACCAAACATATCATCTAGTATTAGGAAGACAGGATAATGGGCTCTTTTTAAATTGCATTAGTATAGCTATGTAGGGCAACACCAAACCCAGACTGGTTTAAAATGCTGAAAATTTGCATTAAGGGAATCACTGAATTTTCAGAGATAATGGAAACTTGTTATTTTTAGAAATCATTTGCAATCTATTATAGAGGCAGGAACAGCAATTATGTTTTTCTTGACTATTGAATATAACTAGATAGCAAAAGCCAGAAGTCCCAGGATCTAATCATGGCATCGGAAACTGATACACTGGCAAACACTAGCATATACTTACAAAAGAATGCATTTCCAAGCACAGAGAACAAAAAATACAAAAATCCCATTCTTTGTTTTAAAACAAGCTTCATACACACGTAGAGTATAATAAAAGGACAAGATGCCGATGCTCATCGCGGTGTTAATGACAGGTAAATATCTCAGAAGAAAACATCCTAAACCTAAATGCAGGCAAAACAAATGTTTCCAAGGAGCAGAAAACAGCTAAATATTGCATGGAACAAGGTTTATCAGTAAAAATCCTGATCTTTTTGTCTTGCTTGGAAGATACTAACCTATGCATGTAGAGGACATTGTTTCTTTTTCCATCTACTTCTTAGATAGGGTAAGGCTGGCCCCTTTTCTTAGTCTACCTCAGCAGGATGCAGAAAGAAATATTAAAGTAGCTGCTGTCAGGCTACGCCTCCTATCCGTGAGCCATACCCAAAGCTACACATTACAAATAGCTCTACAGCTGCCTGTCCAGTTCTGTACAAAATTTGGTATGCTCTTGGCACTTGGGCAAAGAATTTGCCCTATTTGTGTGGTTACTTAAAGCGGAACACATCTCCTGGATTAGAACTGGCACTCTGTATTTGTGCAAGCTAAGGATGCCAGAGAATTAATCCATTACCTCCGGTAACACGGAACTATTTCAACCTGTGGCAAAATGGCCCAAGCGAGATTTGGGATTTACAGAGCTCAAAGCCCTAATGAAAAAATAAATTCCTTAACTATATGTGTAGGTGTATATATGAGATTCTACCCTGGCTAACTCCCTATTTGAATTAGATGTGGAAGTTTGAGTGAACTTAATTTTCCTCCTTAATAATAGAAAATTCAAAAGAAATCATATTATCCTATAATGCACTGGTTTTGGGTTTATGTAAGTTTTCCAACAAAAAAGCTTAGCACTTTTATCAGTGTCTTAACTATATCTAAATTGTCTTGTTAGGCATTTCAAAAAGTCATGGATTTATTATCCAGTATCAGTTCATTCTGTAATGAAACAACATCTATTCCATCTCATGTTTTAGGTTTGAATAAGGATGGAGATATGCTATATCTCCTTATTAAATGAGATATTTTCTACTGAAAGGATTTGTTTTCCTGAATATAACAGAGGTAAGAGTAGGCAAATTCATTATGCATTCCAACCCCAGAATGTACCGAATACCTGCTGTGGTAAAATAACACAAGGAACACCTATACCCAAACCCACCTCCCGTCCCCGCGCCCACATCCCTAGGTCATAAGAAAGAAATATATCATGTGAATGCTTCCACTTTAGAATTCTTTTAAAACCCTCAATATGAAGTACCTTCATCCATGCCATTAAGGATTTCATTCAATTCGTCTTCAGTGTATTCGCAGTAATGCTCTTTCCAGCTGTCCCCATTCTCACTGCGCAGGACCACCAGTTCCCTCTCCTTTCCTCGAAGGGCAGCAAAATGAGGAATCTCCACGATCACAGGCCTGACACAGTAAGGCAGAACATTCAGTGTAGACAAGAGCTGGCCAACATTAAGACAAGCACCTTGACTCTGTCTGTTGCAAAGTGACCTGGAATTGTTCTCTTTCTTGGGACAGGGGCATAGTAGGCTTTCCTCTGGAGCCCATTGGCTAGCAGATGGTCACACAGTAGCATTCTACCTCGGGGGCACCAATCCTTAGGGGCATGCTGCTACCTTAAGCCAAATAACGTTTCCCTGTGAGTGCATGTGGCATTCTGGAACTTCTCCTTTGATAAATGTAAGTATAACACATTTAACCAAAAGAAATGTGCATGCATATCCATGAGGTGTGCCAATCTCCTAAAACAGTTTCTACAAGGTGCAAATGGCAAAATGGTTTAAGAAGGAAAATGGCTCATATGTTGCATAATTTGACGTGTTGTAAATGAAAAGATGTCACAAAAGTTAACTACTTGGGAACTAAAGAGACATGCACTCATGTTTTTTGCTTAAATATCTTTTTCATTCAAGGGAACAATAGGCATGTGTACACAGTGTGGCCCTAACTGAGTGCCTCAGTAGATAGCCCAATTGTGTCCCATGCCTATTATATTCAGGATCCAGAACATGCACTGCCCTGATGTTTTCAGGTCGCATTCACTCTCAAAAATTATAGAGGCTTTTGATTTTTCAGTCCAGGTTGCTTTGATACAGACTTCAAATTCATCATAACAACATCGTAACTAGCACATAGTACAACTAGGCAGATCTCATGCTTTAAACGAAAATGAAGGTCACAGCACTTTAAGGGAAAAGATATAAAAACGTCACTCAAAAATAAAAGTCACATACCACAAGGGTCAGAAATGGTCCACTAAAGATAGGTTATACAGAATTTAAATCATAGGGAGGGACATGTCATGGGCACAATGACAAAAAGAGAAATCATATTGCAGAAGAAGGAGAAGAATGGGGGCCAGCAGCCATCAATTTGTTTTAAGTCACTCCTACCCAAGGAATTTGGTTCCAGGAGGCCCCAGCTGAAGGATGCGGCTGACCAAACTTTCTCCCTCATTAAGTGGGGGAGGGGCCGTTGGCAGGTGAAGTTTACTGAGTACATCCAAAGCAGCAGTGAAAGAAAGAACATAAGTAAGCTTCAGGTATTGTTTTCCACAGAACCCCAGCGTCACCAGCTGATCAACAGGGTGAAGTTTGGTTTCACACTGCGTTTGGTTCTGCCCCCTCCATTGGTCACAAAGAGCAAGGAACTGAGACCCAGAGTGTACAATGGAGGCACGTGGAAGGAGACACTTGGGTGTTTGATCTGACCCTGTTTAGGTTCACTGCCAGGGCATGAGCCAAAAAATAAACAATGACAAAAAAATATATATATATATGCTCCACAGGAAAGACAAAGCTGTTGGGAATATAATAAAAACTCTGACTTCGGGATAGAGGCCAGATGTTTTCATGGATATTCCTCAACAGATGTGAAATTTATTAAAAAGCCTAAAACTACCTGAGCATGAGGGAGGGAAGAGGGCCTGGCACAGAATATGAAAGGGCTCACTGGGGAATTATTCCAACCATACTGGCATTTTCTGATGCAACCCAGAACTTCACAGGCTCCTTCTAAATCTCTGGTCATTTAGGAGGACATGGGAGGTGGTTTCTATAATTGGGAAATACAGACACCCCTTTTCAGGTGTGAACATAATTTGCAGCAACTTATTAATAGTCTGCTCCAAATTACAAGACTTTAGAACGTTCCTTGAGTTCTAAAGCAAACCTTCTCCCCAAAATGACAGTGGCAAAGCAAAGAGTTCGTGATTAATAGGATTTTCTCTCAATTTTTGACAACAACGACTTGACGTGACAAGACTTAAATAAAATTGATTTGTTTCAAAATATTTTGAAACTTGTCCCCCTCCAAAACTTCATCCTTTTGTCAGTTTTCAAGGGCAGCTACTCATCTTTTGGCATATTGTAATACCACTTTAATATAACAGCAGCTGTATAAACAGAAGAAAGAAGAAATGCTCACTTCTGCTCAAAACTGCTAAAATGAGCACGGCAGAAGTTAGTCTTGATTTTGTCATCTTAGGGAAAACTACAACTAAAGAGACTCCCAGTGTAATTTTAAGACTCAAGGTAGCAATTTTGATGACAGAAAAGACAAATCACATAGAGTAAAATTTTGGATATTCTTATATAAAGACAACACTGATTTCCAAAGATAATCGTTCCATTTCATTAGTACACAAGAGTTTAAATTTGTGTTTGGAATAGAGTAGTATTTTTCATTATGATTTGACGAGGTGAGTCTCAGATGAAAAAAAAAAAAAAACCTACCAATGGCTAAAGCATGATAATTCACATTGGGAGTCTAGCGGTTATGGTAACATCCAAAGAGAAAGGATAATAATTCACCTGAATGTTGAACTCATTAATGCCTTAAAATAAGAGGCATGTAATTGGAGTCAAGCATGGAGGTGCTACTTCTAATTAAAAAAAAAAAAAACGTCATGGGCCAATCTTCTTTCACGACGTTTTGACGTACCTTTTTCCATTCCATCCTAGTGATTTCATGTAGAGGACACAAGCTCATCCGTGACTAAGTGGGAGGTTTATCAGAAACCCTTACCCAAGGAACTGAGCACCAGAAGGTCCGACTTCGATCAGACGACTGGCCAGGCCTTCTCCTTCCACCATTGGAGGCATTGTCGCCAGTCTATGACGTTTGACAAGACGGCAGGTGACTCGAGTTGGGGCAGTACATTTCCGAGGTGGAATAATGATACGGAGCCCATTGTGTCTGCACCCTCTCATCGCACCACCTCGGGCATCCACCATAAAACTAACCAGGAAACTAAAAATTAAGATAGAAGATTAGCTGTGTTTTGAAATATTGGAACCAGATAAACAAGCTTTGCCAAGTTAATTCTTTCCCGTAAAGCTTTACTCTCATTTCTATTTTTTGGCATGGTGGCAAAATACTTGTCTTTAAAAGTTATTTTACTTTATGCCAGTGCCTTTCTGTTTTGTCATTGTTTTCATTTTTGTATTATTTTGATCTTTATAGAAGAATTCTAATTTTTGTTGACAATACCGATGTTAAATACAAACTATAAATTCAAAATCTGTCCAATTAACTCAGAAAGAAACTGGGATGAAATTATATAATGAACACTAGTGAGTCTTCTTTTGTTGTAAATGTAAAGACTTCTCCTTTCTAGGTATATCCGTAAAAATCCACATAGTTTACGGATAAAGAGAAAAAAACAAATTGTGGTTTTGGGGTGCCTGGGTGGCTCAGTCAGTTCAGCATCCAACTCTTGATTTCGGCTCAGGTAATGATCTCATGGTTCGTGAGTTTGAGCCCCATGTCAGGCTCTGCGCTAACAGCACAGAGCCTGCTTGGGATTCTCTCTCTATGCCCCTCCCCTACATGTTCCCTAAATAAATAAATAAATAAATAAATAAATAAATATCAAATTGCACTTTTTCTAAGTTAATTCAACCTGACTTTTCAAAATTGCATCTTGCCCACCCCACTTTAATTCTATGACCTAAAAAAAAAAAAAAAAAAAAAAAAAAAAAAAAAAAAAAAAAAAAAAAAAAAAAAGATTCACAGGGCTTTTCCCAAGATCAAACCCATGTACATGCATCCTGCTCTAACGTCGTCTTACCCAGGATGCAGGTATTTAACTTACTGCATTCTAAAGGAGAAGGAAAAACTAAACATTTTGGATAGAATGAGTTTACTGGTTCACATGCACTTTTTCAGTTCTTAAGTAGGAATCCCTCTGCCATACCATTGTAACTAAAGCAAAGATGGGGTGGGCGGGAAATAAGATAACAAATCATCTCTACTCTGTGTTTTGAAGTGGGAAACCCTGGGCTCATACTAATGGGAGAGATCTGTGCATCATGATTTTCCCCAAAGTATAGTAAGCTGTGTATGGAAAATCACAGCTAATAATTTAGAAATGTAAAGGCTCCTATTCCTATTATGTTGCTCCTTTTCTGCCAAATGAGTTGTTCCTGAATAAAAGAACTATAATCCAAACGATTCTGTTTAAGAGTACCAAGAAAAAGGATTAGTTTTAACCTTGAAGTTGCTTCCTGTGGGATGGTCTTAAAGGATCCTGCTACAGCTTAGTGTGAGTTATTGTCACCCTGATAGTCCTAACACTCATTAAAGTCTTGGAGGTACTTGTTTCATTAAGCAGCAAAAATTACACCAGGCAATCTGAGTGTTGTACACATATACACAAAGACACAAACAATGTGTGCACCCTTATACAGATTACATTACTATCCTTCCCAATTTTCATCGCATTTGCAAGACTTTATATACCAAAACAAAAAAAGGAAAGCAACATACAGGTGTATTATGGATCTATTTAGAGCTTAACAAGCACAGAACTACATCAGATTCACCGTATCTAGATATCACATCCATGATGACACTTAAAACATTTGAAAGGTATTTCATTGAAGTAAGGATAGAAACACAATACATTGATGTTATTTTTAGACAAGTGATGGAAATATGTTAGCATCTTCCTCATAGCAGAACACAGAACTCATTAAGCATGCTATTAAACAGAAATCCTGTTGCTAGTAATAAAAATGGATGTGAGGGAGCCTGGAGTGCCTGTCTGAAGCACATCATGCAGGACGAGACCACAAGAACTGTCACTGTCCTTCTCACATGCAGGAGCCAGCCTAGAACTACCCCTCACACCCAACCCCCTAAGTTTTTAGTATAGGGCAAAAACTGAGTAGCGTAATCAATTGTTCAGTACTCAAGAATAGATGTTTCTGGGCTTTATCAAAACAAAATGAAAAAAAAAATGTTGGCTGCTGTTCTTACTACTTGTCTAAGTATGAATTCTTAAAAATAATTATTTTCTATTTGTTTCTTACAATGTTCTATAGCTCAAAAGGATGTAAAACTGGTAACACTTCAGGGCACCTAGGTGGCTCACTCAGTTAAGTGTCTGACTCTTGATTTGGGCTCAGGTCATGACCTCACAGTCCTGGGATCAGGCCCCATACTGGGCTCTGCACTGACAGTGTGGAGCCTGCTTAGAGTCTCTGTCTGCCTCTCTCTCTACACCTCCCCCACTTGTGCTCACTCTCTCTCTCTCAAAATAAACATTTTCTTTAAAAGTTAAAGAAAAACTGGTAACACTTCTAGATGAATACAAAAGTTTCTTCTCCATATTATTTTTATTTGACAATGATATTTATGTCAATTTTTATAAAAACGAGGCAACACTAAGTTTCAACTAGTAGCTGAAATATTCCAAATGTTCCAAATGCATTGCAATATTCTGACTTTCTCTACCTTCTTTAAATTTTTTCATCTTTTGATTACTGTCACCATTGAACAATAGAACAGGGACTCAAACCCATAAGAACTTATTAGAATATATCCACTTAATATTATCAGTCTTGAATATTATTTGTACCTATAAAGCCATTTAGGGAATTTCCACCTCATGTTATATGCTATTGTGTTTCCCATGTATGTATTTCAGTGATGACTTAGGACCTATAAGATGTCCCTATCTAGAAAAACATGTTAAATATCTTCTGGTGGTGCATCTTCTAAAAAAGTGAATTGAAGTAGCTATGTTCTTAGCGGCAATGTTTCCATAACAACGTTTGATTACTTTGTCTGATTTTGTGTCGTTGACTGTTCCTTTTGAAATCTTCTTTTGTTCTATTTACTCCATAATTTCCATTCCCATGCATGAGAAGCATGCAATGTTTGCTTCCCTCCTACTGAGTGCCAGGTGCCCTGCTTGGAACTGAGGATACTGGTAGTAAAAATACAGTTGCTCCTGCCAAGATGCTCATAGTCTAAGCCCCAGGTTTCACATGATGGTTTTGCTTACTCAGAATCACTTAGTTTCCTGGTCAATAAGAAGTGAATTATAACCACATACAGGAGCCATGTAAGTACCATATTGGGCGTGACCTTGCTCCTCCTATTTCTTCCTGTGTTCTCCCAATGCCTAGAACAATGTAGATGGAGCACATAGGTCATCAATAACTAATGGTTGAATGAGTGAATGGAAGAATGAAAAGAGCAAGTTGTAAGGACTTGTATATATTTATATCTAATAGAGAGAAAAGGCAGCAAAAGTGAAGGTAATTCAATTATTTGGTCTCTGGACAACCAATCCAGTCAGAACTCATTCAAATTACTACACCCAGATATTTCAGCTCATAAAATAGCAAAATAGTTGGGAAGGACTATACTCAATGTTAAATATTCTTCTATAGGCCTTTTCCTGCCCCCAAATAGGAGACTTCATATATTTATTTCCCTTGGTAGATGATTAGGAGAAAATGGGAGTAACCAAAAATCAAGAGTTTGAATATAACAAAGTCAACGATTTTATTAGGAGTGAAAATTTCATGAAGACAGACCAAAGATTGGGAAATCAAAATAAAAGAACTTAAAGGCTAAAGCTGCAAGTCGATAAATTTAAGTTTATATAGATCTGGGAAGTAATACTTAAGTACTGCACCCAACCAAAGCAAATTGGGGAAATTAAAGCGTCAATATGCCTAATTCAGAGAAAAGAAAAATAACATTTCCAGAGAAAACAAGCCTTTGTGTCTTTCTCAACTAACTAAAGGAAGTAGCAAGACTAACCTAAAATGACAAGCTCTGGGGAGGGAATTGTCTTTTGCCAGAGAGCTAGGGAGGGGGCTTTCCAGGAGGGGAAGAGGGAAAGGGAAGGCAGGAGGGGGAGAGAGACAGAGGCAGGAGAATTGAGAAGAAAGCAAAACAGAAAGAGGTCAAGAGAGAAACGGAAAGAAGAGAAGACATGAAAGGACTAAACAGTAGTAGTCAGAATGAATAAAAAGGTGTATAAATTCAGCAAGAAAAAAGTCTACAGAACTTACTCTATAGTCTACAGACTCAAATAACATAACTGTGGAATACCCACTAATTAAAAAGCCGAATATGCAGAATTGTATACTAAAAGAAGTCTTTTCTTCAAATGAGAGGGAATAAGAGAAATACTAATTCAAGTGCCAATGAAAAGTCTTTTAGATAAAACATGCTCGTTAATCCCAACAATTTCTAATATAAAATTGGGTAAGCATTTGAACACTTATATTAAAAATACCAGAATACCAAAAGGTTTCACTATTCGGATAGGTAGTAGAGTTAGTAAAGCTATTCTGCAGTGTAAAAAACAGACTGTAAGAGACCATGCACTTTTTTTTTTTGTACCACAGGAAAAAGTGAAAACCTGGAAGGTATGAGTCATGAGATGAATCAGCTCACATACTAGAGTTAATTAAATAAATAGGATTTTCTCATATTTTCAGGAGATTAAAAATGGGATAATACTGTAAACATTTGGAAGTAAAAGGAATAGAAGTAAAAACATATAACTGAATATGTACAGAGGAGATGGTATATGGACTGAAGCTCAGCCCTGCTGTTTGTGAACTTTAAGACTGAAGCCTTGTTGTGAGGCACCTGGGAGGCTCAGTCAGTTAAGTGTCCCACTTTGGCTCAGGTCATGATCTTGCAGTTTGTGGGTTCGAGCCCCACGTGGGCTCTGTACTGACAGCTCAGAGCCTGGAGCCTGCTTCGGATTCTGTGTCTCCCCCTCTCTCTGTCCCTCTCCCGTTCTCTCTCTCTCTTTCTCTCTCTCAAAAATAAATATTAAAAAAAAAAAAATACTTAAGCCTTGTCTCAATGAGGGAGAATCGTATTACCACCGAGGGTGTAGCATGGATTAAATCATGTGTGGGTAAAGCATTTAGAAGTCAGTAAAGGCTTGTTGCCATCCTTTTCCATTCCCTACACCCATATGATTTTGTATTTCG